ATTTGCCTACAGACAGTGGCAGATTTAGTTGGTACTTGAATGGGCCCCTGGCCATCGCTACACAGTTATGTGACTCTGCGTCGAATATGTTACAGTTATGTGCAGGTGTTCGAATGCCATGAAGCAGCGAACTTTTTAAATGGTCCCCCTACGGGACTACAGGCATGGGGCAGTGCGCTTACGACGACTAATTACGGTATCAGAACCGGAAATGATGTTTCGTTTGTTCTAATTTGTAGCGTTTATCTAAAAGTCTGAATTATCTGAGGAAACGTTTGTCATTGCCCAATTCCAAATGACAAAAGCTGTGCCTCTGAGCCCACTGGAAACAGAACTACGCAAACCGCAACAGGCAACATAAATCTAGCCACCTTCTAATGCTTGTCGAAGGTGAGGTCAAAGGAAAACCCTCGCGCTCACGGTTTCTCGCTTACCGTTATGCCAAAGACTATTTAACCTCACGCGGAACACGCCGTTACCTCTTTTCATAGTAAAATCAATAGAACTCCACCCGGCATTTTGATTTTCGATTATCACGGTTTGACGGACACCTTGCGTATTTCATCTCATGTCGGTTTATCATCAAGTTTCTCATTTCCTAATGTACACACTCCTGGTGGCTGAAACTTAATGGACGTCTTATGGGGCATTGCGGAAGAATTTTGCTATCGATTAACATTCCATACTTTGTTATCGTAATTACGCTTGTCATCTGAATTTTATCAGTAATCGGAAAGACTCGGGTTATTCAGTTTTTGACATACACTCCAGTTTTGGTTTCATTTCTGGAAAGTTTGTTTTACCAATCTTGGTGGTAAGGTACAAGGCAACACGATACAATGCGTGAAGGGAAATTTAGTAAGCCATGTGAATCGACCAAGGGCGATTTAACCTGCTGGCCAAGGAAGCTAAAGCTGAAGCCAATATGACTGGAAATTTATACCCAATGAACCTTTCTGGCCATATCATGAATTTCAACAGTCTTTAGGGAGTGACAGTTACCAACCAGAGTTAGATATGACGTTAGCCCTCGTTTCGAGTGTTTTTCGAAACCAATATTTGGGCCCAGAAAAGAGTCACTAATTCGATTGTTCCTTCTTCTGTTGTACGGCATGGAGACCGTGATTCTAACTATGGAGCAAGAAAGACGGTTGAACTGCATACAACGGCGTTCATTTCGACGCATAATAAGAATTATTTCATAACAGGACCAGGTTAGGAAAGACCCCATTTATTTATGACCACAGGCATTCTTCGCAGATGCACGATTAAAAAAACGATTGGCCCTATTAAGCAAAGTGGATGAGCAAGAAACACTTTTATCAGAGGCGAAACAGGAAGGCATCGACTAAGAGACCAGGACCTGATATGGATGAATAAGAAAAGGCAGATTTGCCCTGAGGGGTGGATTTTAATCGCACGCCAGAACTTTTCATCTTTCCTGCCTCGGCGAAATTCAGTATTTTATGAAACAGTTACGTGCATAAGATACCGTGCTAACTATTTTTTAAGTTAATCTAACGGAAAGGAGGGACAGAATGATGTCTTGGCTGGTCCTTGAGTGGTGTTTAGCTCTTTCGCCTCAAAATATCGAAAAGACTGTTGGAAAGTTGGCTAACAACTACGGACAACAGGAATTACGCTTTCGACTGATTAACACAAGGAATATGGAGCAATCAGGTGCATCCCTGGGAGGCACTCGCCTCAAACGATGGCAGTACCTATCGCTCAGTCTGGTATGATCATACCAGATCGACACTTTCTTCCTACTGTTCGCAAGTCAACGACCAATTACTCGTTTTTTTGGCTGGATGCACTGAAGTAACGTAAAGAGAATGCCTTGCCAAGT